AATTTGGAAGCCTTGCTTCCCTTTGAATTTCCTTGATGAGTTTAAAGAGTAATGGTGATAGTTCTTCTTTAAATGTCTCGTAGAATTCAGCAGTGAAGCCATCAGGACCTGGGCTTTTCTTTGTTGGTAAATTTTTTATTACATTTTCAATTTCACTCATTAAAATTGGGGAGTCTTTCCTATTTCTATAAGCTTAGCTGTGAGCTAATTTGTTCAGATGACTTCTTAGAACTATGTATGTAACCCTGATTCCTAGCTTTAATCCTAACCCCAATTTAAGTGTTAAACATTTTTGCATCCCTATCTCATCCTGTCCAAACTCAAATTAACTCTTCCTCCCCTCACCTCAGCCTTTCTTTTCTTATTTCATTGTCTGTGTTGTTAAACCCTGTCATCATTCTCTAAGTTATCATTGCTACACATTTTAGGATAGGCTTGAACTTTTCTTTCTCGACTCTCTATCCTCTATCTTCAATCAAGTCCTATTGTTTTTTCTTGTAAAGGTGTCAAGAATCCATCTTTTTTTCTACTTTTTTTTTAAGGCATTCTTAAGCTTTTCCTCCAGTAAAGTTCAATGCAAATGTTATTCCAAATCTTTCTCAGATACAAGCAGAATCACTTGTTCCTTGTCTGTGGTCCTATTCTACTTTTCTTACTTGAGAAATTTTATTGTAATTAATTTTACATGTCTTTTTCCTCTAGAAGACTTGAAGGATCATCTCCCCAGTGCCCCGGAAAGCACTGGAATAGAAAAGATGTTTAATATGTTTTTAATGAAATTGAATCTGTTTGTTCAATTTCAAGGAGGTAGGATATGGGTCAGATAGGTTTATTTCTTCAAAAGCAAGGCCAGTGGGGAAAACAAGGAAGGGGAGCATTTCAGCATTTGAAGTCCAGTTCTCAAACTGCATCAAAATGGGTTTATAGAATGATGAGACATTGATAAAAATTCAGTTATTTTCAAAAAATAAAATTTCTGAAAATAAAATCTGAAGACAAGTAAGACTATAAATGTTTAGTAGAGATCTAAACTAAAAGGAGAAATTTTGAGCAGATGACTGTAATGCATTGCATTTAGGAAATAAAAAAGGTTGGTGAAGTTTCCAGAAGGAAGGATAAAATTAATCTTTTTTTTTTATAGGCTGCTAGTTCAATTGATGCTGAAGATGGATTGAGATTTATGCAGGAGATGATTGAATTGTCAAGTCAGCAACAAAAAGAACAGCAGCTACCTCCACGAGCTGTGCAAATTGTTTCCCACCCATTTTTTGGCAGGGTAGTATTGACTGCTGGACCAGCTCAGTTTGGGCTGGACCTGTCTAAACATAAAGAGGTATGTCCACTTACAATGGACTTGTTCAAATTGAATTTAAAATATTATTAAGTAATGTTTAACCTCTATTTCTTAATATAGTAGTTTTAATTTATTTTAAAAACTCAGGGACTGGAGATAAATAGCTTAGCCGTAGACCTTATGCTTAGCATACATGAGGTTGGAAATCAGTGCCCAGCTCCACAGCTAAATGTTCAGTCTCAAAGATTTTTATAAACTAAAAGCATATCTTCAAAATTATACATCTTGTATTATAATAATATACAGTTTTATTTTAAATATTTTGCAGGGTGCTGGGTTAAAGTTCAGTGGTAGAGTGCATACTTATTGTGCCCGAGGCTCTGGGTTCAATCTCCAACACTCAAGAACTAGAATATCAAAAAAAAAAACAACCAAAAACCCCCTAGAATATCAAATATTGTTGAGTAATTATATTCAATTTCTTGGTCTCTTTTCTAATTTAATACCTTCAGTTTATCAGAGTGGTTTTTCAGGCTTTCTCATAACTACTAGAACCTTACTTTGTATAAAATTTAACTCAGGAGCTTCATGAAGAAAACAGCTACAAGCAAAAATACCCTGGCTCAAGTGGCTGTGGACAACATGAGTCCCTGAGAGTCCACTGAGCAAACTTTGAAGACTGCGCTAGTTCATTCCTTTAGTCATGACATAGGAAACAAGACCTGCGTAGCTAAACATTCACAAGTTTATCTCACTAATGATTGCAAAGCTGGGAACAAAGCCCACATATCCTGACAATCTAAAGTCAGTGCTCTTTCTGTTCTATTCGAATTTAAACTGTTTCATAATACTGTATTTTAAACTGTATAGAAGATTATAGATTGATTCATCCATTCAGCAGCTCTTTTTGAGTACCTAGATATTCAAGGCATTGCTTGCTATGTACTAGTTTATAAAACCAATAAAGAGCCATGCCCTCATGGAGTTTATATGCTGGGAAAGTGAAGGATATTAAGACCTCTTTGAAAAATCCCTTCTATGTTGGATTTAATTTATCTAGGAAAAACTGCTTGTAAATTTGTGTAGACTAAATCAATTTTTTTTCCTCTTTCAAAAATTCTTCTGGTTACCATTAGTAATGGTTTAAAAATTATTCCCAGCTGTTGTAAATGTGGGTATAGCTATGTAGTAAATTTACCTATAGGTCCTGAGTTTACCACTTACTAACATTGTGTCTTTGAGCAAATTATATAACCTCAGTCTCAGTTTCTCCACATGTAAAATGGAAATAATATTTGGGCCGGGGATGTAGCTCAGCAGTGCAGCACCTACCTGGCAAGCATGAGGTCCTGAGTTCGAATAATGGTACCAAAAAAAAAAGAAAGAATATTTATATTCCTTCATTCAAAGTCATTATAAAGATCAGGTTTAGTAACTTTTATAAAACTTCAGAAATACAAAGCACATTCTAATGATGTATGATATCATTAGAAAAGAAAATCATTCCACTTTTCTTAAAGTTCTAGGTAGTAACTTTTAATGACTAGATTGTAATTTGAGAAGATAAAAGATGTGAGCTACTTTTATTTCTGACAGACAAGAGGCTTTGTTGCAAGCAGTAAGCCATACAATGGTTGTTCAGAGCTTACTAACCCTGAGGCAGTGATGGGAAAAATCGCGTTGATACAGAGAGGACAGTGCATGTTTGCGGAAAAGGCGCGCAACATCCAGAATGCAGGAGCCATCGGTGGCATTGTTATTGGTAAGTAATCCTCTATGTCATTGTGTCGACCAGGAAAAGATAATTTTTAGGAATTTTTCTTTTATTTTCTAAACATTTATGAAAAGTCTTTTCAAATCATTTTAATTTTTAAAACATGTAGGAGAATTCAAAGACTTAATAATTTCTATATACCTATTATGTTTTTTTTTTAATGCTTAGTCATGAGTTTCTGTATATTAATGTCAGTGAAAATATTGGGAGTCAGGTGTAAGGGTGGAATAGGAGTGGTAAAAATGACCAATAATGTGGAAAAGAAAATGTGCACAGAAGGTTGGAAATCCTTGTCAGGTAAGAATGACATCTTCTACCTCCATTCCCACTGGATGTGAGCCATGAACAGTCTCCATTCACACCTTGTGAATTCTGTGTATCTTCTCTTATTGGGAAAAATTCCTTTGGGATCCCTGCCCCTCCACCCCAATTAGAATAATTTCTAAGTTTAGGAAAAACAAAGACACTTAAAGGGCTGTGGTTAGAGCTCAGTGGGAGCTTCTGGGTTCCATCATCAGCACTATGGGGGAGGAAAAGGACATTTAAAATTAAATATTAGGATTTATTTCAGTGAAGAATTATTACTCTTCCTTTTGTGTATTACATATGAGTACTCCAGTGTTGATTTAATGAGTGAATAAATTTCATTAAATGTAAGTATTAGAAGAAATTCTGTTTAGTAACTTAAATCAGCAGTTAGCTGACTACCCTATAAATCAAATCTAGCTTACTGCCTGTTTTTCTAAATAAAAGTTTTATTGGGCCACAGCCACATGGATCTGTTTCCATGTTATCTATGATTGCTTTGAGCTTTACCGAGTTATGTAGTTGGAACAGAGTGCTGCAAAGCCTGGAATACAGTTTAACCAGTTACAGAAAATATTTGCTGACCCTTGACTTAAATCATCCTCTTTATCCCTGGTTATTTTTCACATTGAGTTATTTTTACTGAAAAACTTACTGTTTTACCATTCTTGTCATTTTCAACATCTCTTGCTTACCAAGACTTAAAAACAGAAATACAAAGTATAAAAAATAGTGTGGGACATACATGCACACACATAAATAGATTGATTGATTTTTATGCAGTACTAGAGATTGAACCCAAGGAGCACTGGGCTATATCCCTAGCGATTTTACTTCTTACATTTTGAGACAGGGCGTCGCTAATCTGCCCAGGCTGGTTTCAAACTTGTGATCTTCCTGCTTCAGTCTTCCATGTAGCTGGTATTACAGGAATGTACCAGTATTCCTAGTTGTGTCAATTTTTTTAAAAAGTCTTGATGTAGGATTTTAGATTTTCACAATGAGGGCAGGGGGCATTAATTCTCATAGTATTCTGTAATATGCAAATATTGTCAAGTCAAATGTTTTCTTTAGTAGCTATTAGTTGCAGAATCTTATACTAGCTTCTATGGAGGAATGAATTAGACACAGTGATTGTTATTTTCAGAACATTAATTTTTGAAGAGCAACTTTTGAGTTGTGACTTATTTTTCCTCAGTTGTATTTTTCTGACAAGGCATTTTGTTTTTATAGTTTTAATTATTGATAAATGAATAAATTAGAACTTAGGGGTTTTATTGCAGTGATTAAAAGTACAAATTACCTTACGAATCATTGGGTTGTAAGAGATAATTTAAGTTGGACTAAGAAGGGAAGTTTGTTCACTATATGGAAATGGGTTATTTTCACTGAACCTAAGAGTAAGAAATATAACTGAGATTTATCAAGAGACAGAAATGGGAACTGAAAATCACCAGGAACCATGATAGCTAACATTTTTCACATTTCTCTCTATCTTGGACTTCTCTCCTCTTGGACTCTCTTTTATACTTCTCTCTGCAGTTTGGCCTCATTTTCCAGCTCCACACATTACCAGTGTTCTCCTGCTTTGTTCAGAAACTTCAAAATACACTTCCAAACTGGCAGCATCAGCCCTGAGTCTGTGTCAGTAACTGGACAACTACCCAGCACTGAAGAAGCAGGCTCTGTGTGTGTGTGTTTTAGGGTTCCTGGGGAGACAGGATGAGGTAGCTGTCCTTTGTCTAATCAGTAACTTCTAAGGGTGGGTCAGACATTTTATTCTCCCTTTAGCAGGGCCTCTGAGAGCAAGTGCTCTCACCTGGGACAGGCAGCTTCAGGGATACTGGCCTGTGAGACTGGGGGCAGGGAAGTGATTGGCATCTCCATTAGAAAAGAATATTCAACAGGGCTACTAATTATTTTTCCAGTAGTGGGAATTGAACCCATGGCCTTTGGACTGAGCTACACCCTTGTCTTTCGATTTTTTCTTTTTGGGGACATGGTCTCACTAAGTCTCCAGATTGCCCAACATAAGCTTGAACTTTCCACCTTCCTGCCTCAGCCTC